GGTTGGAAGGGAGGCAGCTGGGGTTGGGAGGAGACAGGTTCTTCCAGTTTGTAAATGATTCTCTGGCAGTCAGGTCTGGCTTGATATCTCTTAACAGTTCACCGTGTTAGACAAGGAGGAGTTGGCAGCTTGGAGAATGGATTTACAAAACTGTTTTTCAAACTGGTGCCTTCCCCAGATATAAACTCTCCTCGTGTGCTGGATGCAGTGTGCATTTCCACATCTACTGAGTGCCTCCCAAGGCCAGGCTCTGCTATCGCATGTGTATCTTGCCCTTCACAGCAACCCTGCAAGGTGCAGGTTATCACCTGTCTCTTACAAAAAAAGACACTGAGGCTCAGAATTTACACAGCTTGTGTGAGGCCAGCGAGGGGCCACGCTGAGCTTTGGACTTGAGCTCTAATAGCCCCAAAGCCTGTGGTTTTTTTCTCTGTACCATCTGCCTATCTTCAGAAAGGACTGCAGGATACCAGTTGAATTCAAATAGCTTTGTATTTGTGAATCAGTTTCTGTGGCCTTTATTCAATCTTGGGCAGGGAAATGGTTCCAAAGATGAAGACTGAGGATGTTAATCCACTCTGAAAAGCAAATTGGTCTTGCTCTCTGTTATGCTGTCTGGGTGGCAAGTCTTGGCTGGGGATGGGAGGTTAAAACACAGCAGGAGGTGGTGTTTATGTGAGTGATGCCCAAGTGAGCATTGAGGACATTAAAGAAGCTGAGAGAGCATCTGTGACTCCATGTTTTATTAGTGCCAGGCCAAGCTCAGAGCCAGTTTTCCAAGTCTGTTGAATTTGTTGAGCTGTGGGGACCAGAGCAGCCACGTAAGTTCTTATGGAGGATGGAGGCCTGACTGAGGAGTAGAACTTGGCTAGGCCAGGAGCAGGAATATGCTACTCTCTCTTCAGCCGAGTATGGTGCCAGGCATGTTGGAAGCTGCCAGGGAAAGAGGAAAGGGAGGGGTCCTATACTATACCCCTCATCCGTCAGCATCTGGGTGTCTGGTGTCTGGAGACCTTGTCTTCCCCCCAGCAGGCTGCTCCTTATAGGCGGTTCCCGGCCAGGCTGCCATATAACATTCATGTGTGAGCTTTTCCCCTTGCTCTCCCAGCTGCTTTCTTCATTGTCTCCTGGCCAGCCCCTTAGATGCCTCCTTCTCCAGTCTGCAATCTGCCAGCTCATCTTCCCAAAGACTTGTCTCAGCTGCTGCTCCATCTCCCACACCCCACAGCCCACTGGAGAAGCTAGGTCCCCTCCACGATCTGCCCTGGATGACCCCCACCCCCACCCTCGCCCCACACCTTGTCATGAGACCTTAATTCCTGACACCTTGAACTTGCTGTCATTCCGCAGCTGTACTGGCTCTTTCCAGAATCACACCTTTGTATGGTGTTCCCTTTGCCTGAAATGTCCATTCCCCAGTCTTCTAATAAAATCCATTGCCTTCCTAAAATTGTAGCATTTTGGCATTTCCCTCTCATGGTGCCTCTGGACTCCTCTAGACTCTACTGTTGGACACTTGCTGTGGGCTTGCATGCACTGTGTTCATATTCTACAAGCGCTTGCCTGTTGTCTTCTAATCAACTCTTTATGGGCATGCCTTCCTCCCTAGGCCCCATCTCTGTATCCCAGCACCTAGGGTGATACATGGCTCTCACTAAGACTCTAGCAATTGTTGCTGAATGAATAAATAAAGGATTACGGGAGAAGATAAACACTGGTCTCTGCTTTTAGCATTATAAAGTCAGTCTGCAGTCCAAATGCATCCATAATAGCATTCCCATCTGGAAAGTAGGAAGTGGCCCAGCCCGAGGGCCTTGTCTCTGTGTTTGCTGACCTCCTCCTGCCTGGTCTGTCTGCGGGAGCTTGATGTGCTGTGTCTTCTTATTTGCAGACCCTCTCAAGTCCCCTGCACCCCCCTCACAGCTGGGCCAGTCCTAGCTCCTCCATGCTTGTCTTCTTGCACTAGCTTTGGATTCTGGGAAAATAGCTAGTGCTTTGGAAAATCAGCTCTAATTTTATTTTTGTTCCTTTGAAACTTAAATGACTTTCTTAAGAAATGCCTGAGGTTAGAGTGGTACAGAGAGAAAGGACGATGGCCAAAACCCAGGCAAGCTATTTTTGTGATGCGAATGAACACCCATCACATTTTTCCTTCCATCACTTGTTCCAAATAGCTCACAGCTTGGGCTTACAAAGCACAGGCTCTTTCTGTACATCAGGAGGAGACCCACGTGTCTTCCTGTCTTTCTCCGTGTCTGATGGAGGCCGATGCTGTGCATTCAGCAGATGCCAGGAATAGAGAGAAGTTTTGAGAAGTTGCTGTCTGTTGTCTGTATGGGGGAAAGACCTGCTCTCTGGCAACCAACAAAAGAAGACTTAAAAATTGATGTCTAACCATAGGTAAGATGGTCATGAAACCCATGGAGGCATGTGTTTGGATTTTTTTGGTCTGTGTACTAATATTATGTGGCCAGGTTACATTATATTAAGGCAACCAATTTGCAGCAAGAGTTCTAGGTTTTTAATGGTGCTAAATCTAGAGTGCTTTCCTGCTTTTTCACTTTTACTGGTTACTATTTCTACAACCATCTGGCTCACAGTAACATTGACCAGGTAATGTTGACCTTTGCCATGATATAGCTTTGGTTCTCTTCATCCAGCGGGAAGAGTGGGGTGCTGGGGAGAAAGACATTGTCAGCAAGGCAGCATTACCAGGTTAGAAGGTATGACTGTACATTCTCTATAGATGGTTTGTGTTTAGTATCATCAAGTCTTATATTCAGTGTCTTAAAGGAATTTTATTTTTACCCCTCAGCACCCATCCCCACCCCGCCCTCAGAGCTCACCTCTGCCTCCACCTACCTTTGCAGGTGTGACGTTTCTCCGGGTACTTCATGGTGTCCACCTCCAGCCTCTCCACACCGCTGCTCCACGCAGCTCCTGAAACATGGGGGAACACGAGGACGAGAAGCAGATCCAGGCTGGGCAGGTCTTCGAGAACTTCGTCCAGGCTTCCACGTGCAAAGGCGCCCTCCAGGCCTTCAACATCCTCACACGACACCTGGACATAGACCCTTTAGACCACAGAAACTTTTATTCCAAGCTCAAGTCCAAGGTGACCACCTGGAAGGCCAAAGCCCTGTGGTACAAGCTGGATAAGCGTGGATCCCACAAAGAATATAAGCGAGGGAAGTCATGTACGAACACCAAGGTAAGGGAACCCCTGTGTGGACGTTTCTTACCCTTCTTGAGAGGGTAGGAAGCTATTGCCATTTTGACATCTTAAGCTTCTTAACAGGTATGGGTGCGTTTGAACGTCCCGCTCAGTTGAAGGTTTTCTTTGTCTGTATGTGCCCAGCTTATCCTGGTTGGGTGTTTCCATTTTAGCACGGTGGCCTCAGCAACTCTTTTGTACCCTCTCCAAGGCAGAGAAAATACCCTCTCCAAGGCTGACGTTATCCTACTTCTGCTGCTACTGCTTCTAGTAGCTACTATTTATTGAGCAACTTCGATGTGCTAGGCACTTTACTACAGACATGGTTTCGTTGAACACCCACGGTCGTCCATAGGGCCATTTTAGAGATATGGAAACTGTAGAGTCAATGTTCCTGCCCAAGATCACATGGTTAGAGGACAACCTTGGTCTGTCTGATTCTAGGGCTTAAGCCCTAAATTCCATGGAGAGGCATAATTAGAGAGTTGTGTTCCTCTGGGAGCAAACATTTTAGAAAGCTCCTCCGGCTTTCATTGGCTAAGAAACAGGTCTTTGGTCCTTACTGCCATTTCCTCCCTTTCTCTTCCTCCTCACACTTCCACATTCTCCACCTCCCCACCCCCTCCCCCCAGAATGCATCGCTCTGCTCAGTATCATCCTTGTAGTTAACCCTCCACAAGCTGATCATGTCCCCCACTGTTTGGCCATAGGCAACATCTGTGACCATGGGGCTGACCAGCACGTCACATCTCTGATATCTCTGCAATGCCCATTGCTGAATGGGCAGCCAGAAGTCAAGACTTCCCTGCTGGGCCTTGGGGGCTGTCAGCCCTGGGCACTGGTCCAGGCTGTATGTTTAGGTTAAAAGTGAGTGTGCTGTATTTAGACCTCACAGAAGATAGCTCAGTCAGAGCCCTTGGAATTCTAGGCGGTGCCAATCCCAGACAAGAGGATTGAACTCTCCATGGCAATCAGGACTGTTGTGTGTTTGTTTTGGTGATGAGGAGCCGTTGAGTCCACCGTGGGATATGGCTGCTTTCCCTTGCCCCCAGGGGAGACAGCTGCCAAGCTCCTCTGAGCCTGGGATGCACAACTGTACAGGGCATGGGAAGAGCATTGCATCAGGATGAAACAGACCAATTGCTTCAGCCCAGGGCATACTAGCCTCCCAGGCAGTACCTGCCCATAACCTGCCAAGCTTCAGCCATACACAGAGGAGACAGAAGTGTTCAAGAAAAAGAGGGGGAGAAAGGAGTGAGATCAGAATCCTAGGTGCCACCCCCGCCCAGCACCACCCTTCCTAGTTGTTGTAAATTCATGCTTCACAGTTCACTGGGCAGCTCTTTAAACTTGAAGGGCGGGGGGATCTTTGAGCTGTAAAAGCATTACCCTTCTCAGTAATTACATAAGGTGGCTTTCTTTTAAATAGGTCCCATAGAAATCAGGTCGCTGGGCTGCAATATGTTTTCTCAGGGAAGGTTTTCAGAGGTCTTGCTAGGAAACGCGTTGCCCCATACACTCAACAGTTCCTACCCGCTGAGAGAACTCTCTTGGCGACCTGAAGACAGACCTTCAGCGGGAGTCAGCCAGCAAAGGGATGGAATGGAGGGCTGACCACCAAGTAAATGTCCTTTCAAAAATCACCTGTCTGGCCAGCCCCTATTTTATGAGGTTTGATGGCTTGAAATAGGAGAGTCGTCACATCCTCTGGTTGGCAGGTCACCATTGATGCCTGAGATACAAAGTGGAAGGGTGAACATCTTTAGTTAGTGATGCTGAGGAAGAGCAACTCTTGCCCAGGAATTTTTACGCCTTTCTTAGGAGAAAGAACAAAGACATTTCAAATGTGTGGTAGCCTATCTCATAAAAACTACCTGGAGAATAGAAAATGCACTTGAAAATACACTCTAAGCATCATCATGACTGTGCTAGGCCACTTTGGCCGCTCAAACTAAGCTAAAGAAAAGAGGGAAATCAGCAATTCATATAAACAGTAATTCGTATAAACATCCTGGTCCAGACTCTCAAAGTCTGACCCATTCCCTCTTCTTCCATCTACCTCTAGAATATTTAGCTCTGTGTTGGTGCTATTCTCCCCTCCTGCAAATAGATTTTCTCTATGTTGTTAGTATCTAGTCCATATCTTTATAGCTCTGTGACCGAAAAGGCTAGAATCTTTCTCTGCCTGCTCGATATTGAAATAAAATCTCAGGGAAGGATCTACTTCTGGGCCAGTTATTGTGGCCAAAATCAATGGAGCTGGCTACTGCTGTCTTTGGCAGCCCTTTCAACATCACATGATTGACAGGAGGGAGGAGCAGGTCCTCAGGGACATGAAGGCGCGAGACAGATAAACAACAGGTGTCCTCTACGGTGACTGTTTGTTTATTTGCGTTCCAGTTATGGCACAGGCCCTCTCCATACCGGCCCTCTCATGTGGATGGTTAGTGCTCAGCTTATACTCTTTGCTGTGAGTCAAGCAAAACAGAGAAAATGGTCCTCCCGCTCTTCCGACGTGAACAGGCACTGTCTTGCTCACACCCCTTATTCAGGTATCCTTCGGTATAGCCATTTACACTGAGCATCAGCCCAACAAGAAATGCCGGGCATAGCATACACGTGGCTGAGCTCTAATGCTACGCCATGGCACACAGGTGTGGCAGGTCCTAGGCACGTAGCCATGCTCCTGATTAGCCACAGGTAGGGTGAGAATGAACAAAGTTCAGCCAGGACTCCCACCTTGCGTTGATGTGGACACACATCGCAGCACCATCTGGAGTGGATCTGAGCTTCAGAATTTCATGAGCATTTATCAGCCGCTACCATGCGCTAAGCACTGTGCTGTTCCCTTCATGCCAGCAGTGTGTGTGTGTGTGTGTGTGTGTGTGTGTGTGTGTGTGATGATGGTGGGTGCAGACTATGACCTCTGTTTGGAGAAGAAGGCTTCTCCTGTTCCAGGTGCCAGAGGATAGGGGAAAGAACTGCAAGGTGATTACAGCGGTGACTTAGATGCCAATTGCATAATCTAACTTGGAGTCATTGTTCATTATTGATTATTATTTATGAGGGTTTGGTCAGGCACTTAATAATTCTTTCCCTGGGCGTGGTCTGTTTGGGTAAGAATGCAGTGAACCAAGGATCAGGCCAAATGAACTCTTTCGAGATGAATATGGGCTCTGTATTAGGGTAGTACCTGGATCATATGCCACATTCAGTTGTGTAACTTTCCTGGGAAAAACAATGTAAAAGAAAATGCAATACATAATTAGGTATGGGAATTACCCGAATCGCAAAATCACAGAGTCTGATCGTTTATTTGATATGTACCTTTAATGCTAGAAGGTACTTGAGAGAATGTTGTGTACAATTCCTGCATTTGATAGGTGACAAACAGGGGCCCAGCAAGCTGAAGCTGTTTAGCTAAAACTAATGGGTGACATTGCCCAGGATTTGGGCTCTATTTACTGGTTTGCTCATATATTCTTTTGTTTATTCATTCATGAGATATTTCCAGTGCCCTACACCTTAGTAGGTGTTTGACAGGGGAGATGGTTTGAAAGGTTAATAAGAAGTAGTTCTTACTTGAACTTTTATAGAAGAGACAGAAATGTCATTATTTCTGTATTTAGTCACTTAACCATTTATGAGTCATATAATTATTGAGCAGCTACTATGTGCCAGGCACTTATCTAGGCATCTATCAGCCACTTAATAGCTCTATGGCCTTCGGCAACTTACTAAAATAAATCTCTGATCCTCAGTAGCATTCTCTGTAAAATGAGGATGATAATGGTATTTCATGGACTTACTGTGAGGATTAAGTAAGTAGAATGCTGCCTGGTACATAGTAAGTGATCAGTAAGTGTTTAGCCATTATTATCAGTAATATCCTAAGTGCTGTGAGAGAGGTGTGTACACGGTTCTGCAGGAGTACGTGTGACTGGGATAGTCCGGGAATGCTTCCTGGAAGAGGAGGTATGATTTCGGGCTTGACAGATGAGTAGGAGTTTGCCTTACATTGCTGAGGAAAGAGCCAGAGGGAACACAGGCAGAGAGATAAAATCTAGGTAGAGTGTGTTCATGAAATGGGACTGAAGGTGCATGTGGGGACATGTGAGAGGGTGAGAGCCAGAGAGAGAGGTGAGTGGATGGCTGGCAGGAGGACACCAGACACAAAGGCTTCCAGGGTCCAACTGTGAAGAGGGGGTCCTGCAGTCAAGCAGAGGAACTGGAGTATGAGCCCCGATTCCCAATCCAGGGTTCATTCCACCACCCTCCCTAGGGTGGCTCAGTGACTATGAGTAATCAGTTTAGGCCAGAAGGCATTTGTGTAGCATTGTCATAAAAACTCGCGTGCAGGAAATGAGTCACGGACTCTTTTGTCACCAGCAGAAATGGGGCTAGCCTGTATAATGAAGACTCTTGTATCAACTTGTGAAAAGGAAATGTCTGTATTTTGTGAGCGTCCAGCAGGGTCACCCCACACCTTTTGCTCCTGAACATGACCCTTGCTCCTTTTTGCCTCTGCAGTGGCTCCTCCGTTGAGGGGTAGCCAAGGCTGCATAGTGCATGTGGCCCAACTCATTACGTGATTTCTGAGCTACAGAGTGAGGCAGGGTGGGAGATTGAGAGGGCTGACGCTGGGAGAGGAAGGCTGCTATCTCCTGGCCTAGATAAGCCTATCTGACATTCCGGACCTCTGAAATCACCCACCACAGCCCCCAAAGCCAGGCTTCGCAGCACTGCCGGGCCATGCCAAGTACCACTTTGCCTAATATGGACAGTTGCAGACAAAACTAGTAGAACAGAAGATAGTCTCTGGGGTGTGAAATTCCATCCCAGTTGAACAAAAAGCTTGGATGAACTTTTCATTTGTCGACTTACCTGACAATGGACTCCTGGCACTGCTACATTAGACATGGTCAAGCCTAGATTATCAATTCAGTTGTGTTAATTACTACATCACAACTTCACATGGAGTGTGGGGGGTTTGCATG